AAATATAATTAATCAAATTCCATATTCAAATACTGCAAAATATTTGGGTATTACTCTAAGTTCATGTAAAGAAGAAAAGAAAATAATAATTCTGATTGAAATACAAAAAAATGTACTGACCGATTGGCCAAAATTCTACTCTGTTTCTACATAATAAATTATAATTATATAAATAAATACTGAAACAATAGTATTATTATAAAAAAGTATAAACATTTAGAAGGAAAATGTCACAAACAACAGAAAATATTTCTATTCATATAAAAATTTAATCAAATTATAGGTACTTACTGCTTATTTATATAAAATTTCCTCAATCGTCGTCGACTTTTTCGTCCGGTACATAAACGTCTTCGCGAACTACCCATTTTAAAAACAACAAAACACACTGGTTTGTCAAAACTAGTCAAAAGTCGAAATAAGCCCTAATAATGTTATTCAACATTATTTATGACCCTCGGTCTTTCTTACCTACTCGTCGGCGAGAGTCCAGAAACAATCAACAAGGACAGCTTGTACTGACCGAGAGAGAGAGTACATTTAGCACAATTTAACATTTTTTAAAAAGTTTATATGAAATAGCTGCTTTGTGTTACACTTTATGTTAAAAATAAAAACAGATTCGGAAAGTGGGTAAAATTCTGTAGTGCCCTATTTCAAAAAAAAAAATTTACGTTTATTTTAACCAAAAATATTTAAAAAAAATATTGTTTAAACAATTTATTAATTTACAACCAAATAGTGCACTAGAACTTTTTAAGACCTTTCATATAAAAAAAGAATCATCTCAATATCTGCCATAGTTTTTGCGTTATTTGATATAAACTTTTACATTGGAATTTAGTTATGCCCAGAATCGCGAGGAATGGCCTTAAACTTCATTAGTCATTCATGGCTTCAAGGGATATTTTATCTTTTCTTATCAAGAAAATCCTTTTCTTATTAAAAAAATTTAAAACACGTTTTTTCATTTTGAAAAATTGGTGCTAAATTGGGCCCCTATAAAAGTATTCTAATTAGCAATGGTAAGGAGTCAAAAAGATGATACATCGAAATAAAACACAACCAAAGTTTATTATTATTTTATATTATTTAAACTACAACAAATTTAACACAATCAATTAATTAATTTTACTTATTCAGTTATTTGATTTTAAATATTTATGTGTTTATCAGTGGCGGCTGGTCAGGGTCGGCAGTGTCGGCAGTGCCGACCCACATCTTTATAGATATTATAGATTATTTTAATATTTAATTTAATCAGTATTTCAATAAATAATTGTGGCAGGTAATCAGTTGATGTCATTTGTTTTTGTGAACTAAAAAAATATCTGTGAGATAATAAAGACTAAATTTTATTCATGGTTTTTAAAAGAATTCGTCCAATCTGAGCGTTAAGTGATCCTTGCGTAGACACTTTTCAAATAAATGTTCCGATATCGGAGACATCCATCCGCCTATGAATTATTAAAAAGGCACGTTTTGTTTTTTCGGCTAGCCGATCCCAACCTTGACTTTACTTGTAAAAATCAACGGAATATTGGGTGATTAGCAACCAAATATACATTTCTTTCCATATGAACTTAATTACTAAGTCCGGCAAATTCAAATTTGCCGATGTTTCATTTGGATTGGTGATTGGTCGCGAACTGTACATTGCGAGCGTGGGACGAAATGTTATTTCATTTTCATATATGTAGTAAACTGAAGTGATATTCAGTGCACGAACTAGCCTATCTTTTTGTGATTTATTTTTATTTTCTAAAGTAATACTGTGATACGATACGTTACGTCTGCCGTAAATAGTTAACGGTTAAAGGGTTTTTTGACATATTAGAAGTTGTTTTTTTTTTTAATTAAAGTGTAAACAAATTTAGTAAACACCTAAAAAATGCAAGCCATAGGAGAAACTGTAAGTATTGATAAGTCTGATATTGTAAATTATATTTTGCATAATGGGTTTTCATCAATTCCATACGAAGAACAAATTGTTATTAAAAATAAGGGGCGTCCTTTGCCTAAAATGTCCCGACTTATAAATATTAGTGCGGGTAAGGGAAGTAATAGATCATTTTCAGATAATTGGTACAGCAAGTACTCATGGCTTACGGGCTCATGGGAGTGAAATAAAAAACAAACTTTTTTGTTGGCCTTGCATTTTAGATTCGACAAATAGGGGCAAACATCAAAATCCGTGGTGTGAATCTGGTTACGATAATTTAAAGGAATTATTTAGGGCTTTACATAAACATGTTATTTCGAAAGATCATACTTACAGCCAGATTAAATTAGATTTATTTGGAAAACAAAATATCCATGTTTCATTAAATAATGCCCAACGTGAAAATGCCATTAAACATAACGAAATTGTAAAAAATAATCACACAGTTTACGTCGTTTAATTGATATTGTAATTTTTTTAAGTTGTCAGGAATTATCTTTTAGGGGACATGATGAATCGGAGCATTCGTTAAATCAAGGTAATTATAGAGAACTAATAAAAATGTTTAAGAAATACGATTTGGAATTTTCTAATTTACTTTCTGATTCGAAGACATTTAGCGGTGTATCTAAAACAATCCAGAATGAATTAAAAGAATCAATTAGTTACATTTTGAGTAACATTATTGAATCTGAGATTCAGGAAACCATTTGCTTTTCACTAGAAGTAGATGAAACTACCGACATATCATGCCATTCACAATTATCAATTGTTGTTCGATACGCGTTACGTGGTAATATCTATGAGATGTTTTTAGGTTTTACAGACGTGAGTAAAAGCCATAAGGCAGAACATATTTTTGGTGTTTTAAAGGACAAATTAAAATTTTTTGATATCAAAAATAAATTGGTAGGGCAAACTTATGAAGGCGCTGCCGTGATGTCTGGTGAATTAAATGGTCTCCAGGCAAAAGTTAAAACTATTGCACCGCAAGCTTTATTTACTCATTGTCATGCGCATAGAATGAATTTAGTTTTGCAAGATACATGTAAAAAAATTAAAGAATGTCGTCTTTTTTTTGCCAGTTTAAGCGGATTTGCTTCATTTTTCTCAAGCTTGCCTAAACGAACTAATGTTTTAGAACGGTTTGTTTCGAAAAAAATGCCAACAGTTTGTCAGAATGACGATGGAATTTTAAATCTCGGTTAGTTTTCACTGTAGCAGATTTTCGTGAACAGCTTTTGAAAGTTTTTGATTTTATTATTAAATGTGACGATTTTGAAAGTGATGATATCTCGATCTATAAAGCAATCGGTTTAAAAACTTTATTAAATGATTACTCTTTTAACATACTTTTAAATATTTTTAAGAAAGTGTTACCCAAACCGATTTGATATTCAATGTTGTTCAAAATCAGTTAACTGATATTATTCATTCCAAAAATAGAATAACAAGACTGGTGCAAAATCTCAGTCAGATTTTCGTAATGATAGTAATTTCCAGTATATACGCAGTGTATATAAATATTCAAATTTATTTATCTCTATCCAACATTATTGTCATTAATTCTCTCATTACCATCAACGTCTGCCTCAAATGAACGAGATTTCTCTTGCCTCAAAAGAATCAAAAATTATTGTCGAAATACCATGAAACAAGAGAGAATGTCAAGCTTGTCTCAAATGTCAATAGAAAAAAAACTTTTAAAATCTCTTCAAAACTCTAATAAATTTTACGATGACGTAATTACCCATTTTGCTACTTCCAAACAACGTAGACTAGAGTTAATTTATAAACATGTTTAGGTTCTAAATTTAAAGGAAAAAACAAAAAAAAAACAAAAAAACAAGAAAACAAAAAATCTCCTATGATGATTGAAGTTTTTATTGGACGGTATACCTATCTGTGGAGACAAAAAATACCTTGCCGACCTTGTCTCTCAAGCCACGAGCCGCCACTGGTGTTTATGTACTACAGATTTGGTGCATCGTTGTTCGCGGCTCATGTCAAACACAATTATAAAAACCGCAAACTTTCTAGCGATATCTGTTAATATTGTTCGTGTCCATTTACTAACTAGGGCATTTTACTTTAAAACAAACGAAAGGTGATAAGCATATACTAAAACTGATTCATTATTCACACCACAAAGTGGTCGTTTAGTAACGATGCAGTATGCAGTGTAAACTCAATCTCAAGCAGCATCTATTCCGGGGTTTCGCAGCACCAGCGATAGCCATTTGTTACGTTAATGCGCACACATTCCCATTGTTGAGACCAAATAAATGATGTTTGAATATCAAGATTCAGATAGACGTATAGGTTTACCAAATAAGCCATTTAGAATTTCTACTTACATGGTAATGATATGCCCGTGTTACACACTATTTCACACATACTTGATTTAATTACAAGTAAATAAATATATTAGTATAACTTCTTTGAATATTACAGTTTACAACATTATACATATTTTGTTTACAAGTATTTGATATGAACAATCTTTTTGTGGAAAAGTTAAAACAATAAAGCTTGTCACTATGCACTGTTTATATTAGCTGAATTAAACTTGTTTTTTTTTTAATTTAAGAACACTGTCAAAACGGTTTGGAACACTAAGAATGTGTTTTAGATTTCCTACTTGTTTCTAGAAGAATCATACTGGCAGCAGTCCATTATCACATGTTTGATGGAAAGAGGGGTATTACAGTAATGGCATACTGAAGGGTTTTCTGATGCCATAAGGTATCCGTGTGTGTAGTCTATGAATAACTGATTTTTCTTTCCTGTTCATAGACGAGACATTGACGCGAGATAAGTTGTGTTGAACATCATGCAGCTTAATTACTTTTTGTTTTATTCCACAGGTCCGCCCATGAGCTGAGGATTTTTTGTTTTATCAATATCTTAAGATCCGTATAGATTTGGACTTCTTTGAAGGCTAAGTCAGAAGAACATGATAGTTTTGCAGCGTGGTCTGCTTTTTCCTTTCCTAATATACCAACATGAGATGGAGTCCAGATCATTGTGACTTTTATGTTAGTAGAATATAGTTGGTTACAGATGGTGTGGATTTCCTGGACTAGTGAGTTTTTCGAGAAAATGCATCTTATGGAATGAATCGGGGAAAGAGAATCAGTACAAATGGCGATTTTTATGCTTTCATTTGATGTAGGATGGATTGAAGTCTTTAATGCTTGGAGTATTCCATATAATTCTGCTGTGTAGATACTACAGTTTTTAGGCAATCGCACAGAGCTTATTGTCGTCGTTAATGTGGCCACAGTAGAGCCACAACAGTCTTCATTTTTGGACGCATCGGTGTATAAAATTCCATCAAATTGAGGATGTTTTGAAAGGATTTTCTAAGGATTGAGTTTGGGGTTTCTGTTTTGTCGAATCTGCATAAACCAGTATTGATTATTGGAAGATTGTGCATCCATGGAGCTGTCTTGGGGGTATAAATAGAAGTAGTATTGGAAAGGTTGATGGAATCTAATAAAGGAGATAATATTTGTGGTAATGTGAGAGACTGATCGGATGCGTTTGCTGGAGGAGGCTCTATGGGATTGATTACATTTATTACCGGGTTAATTGGGTTTGCTAATATTCTTGCAAAGTATGAAAGTAGGAGCTGCTGCCTTCTTAGATGGAGTGATGGCTCTGAAGATTCAACGCAAACACTTTTAGCGGGACTTTTAGCGGGGCTTGATTTGAAAGCACTAAGGCATAGTCGTAGGAATGTATTTTGAATCGTGTTTAGAGATTTTAATAGGTAGCTACTAGATGTCATATAAATAATACTGCCATAATCTAGCGTAGAGCGAATTAACGCTCTATATAATTTAAGGAGAGATTCTTCATCAGCTCCCCAAGAGAAGCTAGAAAGAGATTTATGTGAATTCATTCTTTGGGTACAGTTTCCTTTAAGTTTCTGAATATGCTGTCTCCAGATAAGCTTTTTATCAAAGGTGGTACCAAGAACTGTCAAATAATTAACTGTTTGTAAACAAAGTCTGTTTAGAGGGTCTATGCTTTTTAGTAAAATGAATTACTTTGGATTCAGGAGCTAAAAACACAAATCCAAAACGCGTAAGCCAGGTGTCTATTTTGTTTATTGCATTTTGTAGCAAAGTGCTGGTAGTATCTGTGACTCTACCTTGGCCGTATAATATAATATCATCAGCATATATGGAGTACCTGACTGGCGGTTCTATATATGAGGAAAAGTCACTCATGCTAAGTAAAAATAAGGTAGTGCGTAAAACTGAGCTCTCAGACAAACCGTTATTCAAAGCATGTGGTATTGATATTTTTCCATTTGTTAATACTCTAAAATATCGATTTGTTAAAAATTTTTATAAAAATAAATAAATGTTACCAGTTAAATTATATTGCGTTCATTTTCTTAGAATTAGAGGTATTCTATTCGAAAATGCGTTGACAATTTTAGTGTGTAGTGTGACCAGTTTATCCATTGTACTTCGATTTGATCTGAAGCTTGTTTGGAATGGGTCAAGAATATTATTTCTTTCTGGATACCATAGTAAGCGTTTATTGACCATATTTTCTAATAGTTTATATAGTGAACAAGTTAGAGAAATTCGTCTATATGATTTTAGAAGATTTGGAGATGAGTCGTTCTTTTTGATAGGAATTGTAGTTGCTTGTCGTCATAACGTTGGGAACTGATTTTAAGTCCAGATCTTATTATATAACACTATCAGTTTGAGATGTGTGTCTGGATGAAGGTTTTTTAAGAATATTGATGGGATATCGTCTGGACCGGCTGCTGAGTTTTTTAATGAAGAGATGGCTTCGTTTAATTCTAGCTTTATTAATCTTCCTTTTAATCTAGGAGATTAAAAGGAAGAATAATAATAATAAAGCTAGTGTTAGAAAATATTTTAGGGCTGGATATATTGGTATCTGAGTTATTGGGAAGATTCAGAATGTTTGACTTGAAAAGTGGGAGGCAATGATATCTGCAATATGTTGATCATCGGTAACTGTTTGATCCTGCACGGAGATGGCGGTAATTTTGCTGGATGTATTTTGATTTTTCATACGTCTTATCTTTGACCACATTTGCGCGGGTGAAGTATCTTTTGTGATTGAACTAACGAACTGATTCCATGAGGCTTTTTTACTTTCTTTTAAAATACGCCTAGAATTATTGGCCCTAAATTTTTTAAAATTTATTAAATCCGTGGTAGTACGGGTGTTCCAGAATTTATTTAATGCTTTTTTTCATTGTCTGATAGCTATTTTGCACGACTCATTCCACCACGGTACAGGTTTCTTGAAAGAATCAATCCCGCATTTACAAATGCATTCCTCAGGATGTAACATTTCTTCAGTTAAACAGTTATTTAATAGTTTTACATCTGTATCTTTATCATTGTTAAAAAATACTTCATTGGTTTTTCCCTTAACAGTGGTTCTAAAAAGATTCCAATTTGCTTAACTGATTGTCCAGTTTGTTAGAATTATTGAGGGCATTTTTGACTGGTCAGAGATCAGAATAGGAAAATGATTACTATCATAGAGGCTGTTTAACGCGTACCATGAAAGTAAAGGAACTATTCCGGGATTACAGAAAGATAAATATATGGAAGAAAAACTACCTGTTTGGATGTGAAAGTATGTACTACTTCCTGAATTTAGAAGTTAATATTAACGACGTTATTTAAGAAATTTTCGATTCTTTTACCTCTTCCAAATGTGTTTTCGGACCCCCACATAGTATTATGTGCATTAAAGTCACCTACTAAGATAAAAGGTGTAGGAAGCTGAGAAGTTAAATCTTCAAGATTGGAACGTATTAAACAGTAGCTTGGAGGGATGCATATGCAACAAATTGTAGTTTTGTAAAATTTTGTATTCAAAAAGGTGTTAGATAGGGTTGTGTGTTGTCCCCTTTACTTTTTTTAACGTTTACTCAGAAATAATTTTTAACAACGCCTTGGAAGGGCAATGTGAAGTTCGAATCGGGGGAGAAACTATCAATGACATCAGGTATGCAGATGACGCCGCAATCATGGCTGAAAGTATCGAAGATCTTCAATTCCTTATAGATCGAGTCACTAGAGAATGCTCTAATAACGGACTAAGCATAAATACAACAAAGACAAAGTTACTTGTGGTTAGTAAACAAGACCTCGGCGCTATACAACTGCTTCTTCTTCTAGTTCCTATCCGTTTCGGATGTTGGAAATCATATTGGCAATCATAACCTTGCTCGCTGCGGCTCCAAACAGCTCCGTTGAGGTTTTCTTAAACCATGTTCTTAAATTCCGCAGCCATGATATTCTCCTTCTACCGGGTCCCGCTTACCTTTGACTTTACCTTGCAGACTGTAGCAGGGAGTAACGGTGCTGATTTCTCATAATTGTCGCTATACAACTAATTGTCATTAATGAACTGATAACAAAAGTTAACCATTTTAAATATCTAGGATGTTGGATAAAAGAGACACTAAATACGGATGAAGAAATTAAAACTCGTATAGAAATTGCAAGAGGAGCATTTATGAAACTTAGATCTATTCTGAGCAATTCTCAGCTGAACTTACAGCTGAGAATTAAGTTCCTAAAATGTTATGTGTATCCTGGATTACTGTATGGATGTGAAACCTGGATTATGAAAGTAAACATGATGAACAAATTAGAAGCTTTCGAGATGTGGTTATATCGTAGAATGCTCAGAATATCATGTGTTCAACACATTTCAAACAGAGAAGTCTTGAAGAGAGTAGGTCAAGGTGAAGGTGAGTTAATAAACATGATAAAAAAGAGAAAACTCGAATATCTGGGACATATAATGAGAGGAAGCAGATACAGGATAATGCAGTTGATACTCAACGGAAAGATCGACGGAAGAAGAGGAAATGGCAGAAAGAAATACTCATGGCTCCGAAACCTTCGTCAATGGAGGCTTATCAGCAGATGAATTATTACATGCCGTGCAAGATCGAGAACGATATCGGCAAATTGTCATGGAAGCTACCCACGCCTAAAACTTGGGCACGGTACTCAAAGAAGAAGAAGAAGAAAAAGGACACCAAGATGTAACGGCTATACCTTCGAGGTTTGTGTTTAGCGGAAATTCTTTATAAAAGATATCAGTGGAAACAAAAATTGATGCTCCGCCACTGGCACTTTTTAAGTTGTCCGGAATACTTATCAGTGTCTTGTAGGAACAGAAAAAAAAGAATCCAAGCATTCGAACTCTGATGTTACCGCAAAATGCTCAGAATATCCCACATGAGCCATACGACAAATTCGGAAGTCTTGCGGAGGATGAATAAGAAAAGAGAGCTTATGCTTTTAATAAAAGAACGGAAAACACAATATTTCGGTCACATCATAAGAAATCAAAAGTATGAACTGCTCCAACTTATAATCGAGGGCAAAGTCAATAGCAAAAGAGGACCAGGAAGAAGACGCAACTGTTGGCTAAAAAACCTACGGCAATGGACTATTCAGGGCTGCTACAAATAAGATTAAATGGGCAAATGTAATGGCCAACGTCCTTAAGGATAAGGCACCGTAAGAAGAAGGGCACAGAAAGTTCAAGGCTTGGATGACGAGGATAAAATCCATCACAGTTCCATTGTATCAGTATGAATGCTGAAATTAATATGTAGAGTGTTTTAATTTTTGCGAGGTTTGTGAACTACCAGACAGGTATTCTTTATCACAAGTATCTTGTCAATTGTCAAGAATGTTTATACTTTCAGAATCATCTGTGGCAGAGTGTATTTTAGTTTTAATTTTTTTATTAAGCCTGTAATTCTGATTTGTGTAGATCTTGCTTTAAAATTTGGTTTATTGATTGCAAAGTTAGAATGAGTGATTTAATATCTGTTGTGAATAAAGGCGATAATGTTATCAGAAGGGACTGCAAAAGCTTCTGGGTTTTGTTTATAGGCTTCGTGTATTGCTTGCTTGGAGTCAGTGGATAGACTAGGGTCGAGAGAAGAACTACGTTCAATCTTGATCTGATGCAACATATGACTGACGGTGGCATGTATAACGTAGAAACTTGAAATTACTACAACTTTTTCCTCAACTACAGCACATTGACTGATGCTGCGCCTATCTGCCCAGTATTAGTACTTTTAGAAATAAAAACTGTTGGCCTTATTAGGGGCATGGCCTTATTTGGGCCACCTTCCTTATAATCTTTCAAATGTTTGAATCATATCCCATCTGTTTTCAAGCATATTTTATTTATACATGCTTTTACAGGTTGCGATATAGTTTCTGGCAGGAAACAGGATTAAAGGAAAATTAAATTTTTTTAAACATTACAAAATAGTTATAATTTTGCCCAGGAGCAAGCAAGCAATTGAAATAAACCCAGCCCTTGAAACATGTTCACTCCTAAGAATAACGTTCGGGTGTAACAATTCATTGGAGCGAAATATATCAACTCGAGTTAAAGACAAGAGTCACTCCACCGTGCTGCAATTATCCAGGCCAACCCACTCTGATGCGTGATAGGAGCACAACTATCAGTCAAATGCTTTTCGTGTGGAGCACATTTTAAAGAAGTTTGTCTGTTGAGAAAATAGTTGAACTACTACTACTACCACCATCGGTTTACAGCGTTCTCCGAGGCCTTCCGACTTCTAACCGCCATTCTTCTCTATTCAACCATAGGTCTGAAGGGATTTCTCTTTCCTCTAGTTCTTTTTCAATTCCCTCTCTCCAGCTTCTTCTCGGTCTTCCTCTTTTCCTTCTCCCTTGGGGTGTCCACGTCAAAATCTGTTTTGGAATACTGTCACCTGGCATTCTCTGTACATGGCCGTACCATATTAACTGTTTTGTTTTTATGTCATCAACTATTGTATGCTTGGCTCCCATCATTTCTCGTATTTTCTCATTTGGTATCCGATCTCTTCTTGATTTGCCTACTGCTCTTCTCCAGAAATCCATTTCTGTTGCTAGTAACAGTTTCTCTGTTCTTTGTTTCATTGCCAAACTTCACTGCCATATGTGATTACACTTTTAAGTATGGTGTTGTATATGAGTTGTTTGTTCGCTTTAGATATTGTTTGGTTTCAAAGAATGCCGTTCATCATGGATATGGCTTTTCTTCCCTGTATGTTTCTGTCTTTTATAGCAGCATCGAGTGTTCCATCTTGAGTTATCTTCATACCCAAGTACTTGTATTCATCACACTAATTTCTACCCCATCGTCTAATATAATGGACTGTTTTCTTTCTCCAATA